CAACACTCTGTCAAGATAAGAATATCCACATTAATTTTTAATCTTACAAGTAGAACTTCAAAACCAGTTATGTTTAGGTTAATGCTGCGCATGTTTTGTGTAAGGATTGAGAGGGAAGTTTGTGAAGCTGGTAAAAATCTACTGCAGTCTTCCAAATCACACTCAAGAGCATTTGAGACGAATAATTTGTCCATATCATCAGATATATCTTTTAAATTATCGAAAATGAGGCAAAATTATCTGTATACGTCAACAGAGTTACTCCGTGTAAGAAAATAAATATTGTTACAGTAAAGTAAGTAACACATTTTTTAAGAAATAAAAATGTACAAGGTATTCATAACTAAAAGTCATAAAGGGTAGTCGTGTGAAAGTGTGCTTAGTGTACAAAAGAATTAAGATTAAAAGGTAAAAAAATGAAATTATGAGGAGAAAATACAAGGAAAGTTAAACTTACAGCTACTAGTCATTGAGTTATTTCAAATTTTTCAAGATCTGATTCACTTTCTACTTTCACCAAAGGAGAGTTTACGTTTTTTTTCGAAGCTAAACTATACCACGCGATGTCCAACAAAAAGCAAACATGTGTTCCTTTTGAAACACTCGAGCCAAGAAGAACATTCTCTGTGCCTTTGGTGTTAACGTTTCCGCAACGAATACAGGTTTAATAGGGGTATTGTTTACTCCCGAACGCTGATTTCGGGATTGACATCAGAGGGCGCGCGGCTCGGCGATACTGGTTTGACGTTCGGGCTAGCTTGGGTGTGGCGAGAGCGCGCGAGCGCAAAAGAGTCGTCTGCCAGCTGTGCTTGGGACAGCACGCTGTCATTTTTGTCGGGAACTCGGAATAATTTAGGCGCGTCTAGTAAATATACTGTCTAGGATTTGTAACGCGCATTCCTTGCTTGAGAGCTTCACCCGGGACTCATTGGGTCTGACTCAGAATCTGTATAAGTGCATTCGACAATATTAGCTAGTGCGGCATTTGGTATTCTAGAATTAACGGCTGCCACGCGAAGCGGTAGTGAACTTTGATCCGGACATTCGTATTCGGGCGGTGTGTTATGTTTTTGCTTATAGTAACAGTATTTCATATAGACCGACACTCCGTGTTCCTTTTGTGTGTTAAGCTTTATAACAAACGAGAGTTAGTGGCTTCTTGGAGTTAGTTAATCGTACGATAGAGTTAATGGACTGTCATCGTCACGAACGAAGAAAGTGACTGTGGACGGCGCCGCGGAAGATTAACTCAATTTGGAGCGGTGCTGACGTCCGGGCTGCTGCCGACGGCAAAGGTCTAATAAGGTCAATCACCACCAGTCACACCCAGATACACATCACAGCACCTTATTTCCCTTGCACCACACAACCACATGCGACCTGACCAAATCCTGAGGGACCAGTCGCCTTGGATATAGGTAAGTAAGCTCGGTTTAATATTCTCCCTGTTGAATGGCAGTAGTATAGAACGCTCCCCCTTATTGTTTATTGTAATTAGAGACTTTCCACGCGGCCATATTGAGGCCCGACCTACGTCTGTTCGTTGAAACTCCGCTGATGAGCCCCGGAGGATTGAATCTTTATGGGAGCAGCCGTAGGCCGTAACAGGTATCTATGTTAAAATGTCCAGTGTTTAATTTTTCGCCTTTCTCTTTATTCTTATTAAATAATTTAACTGCCTTGAGAACCTTTTCTTTTATAATTACAGAAGTAAATTCAGTGATAATGGGTTTTGATGAATTCTTAGCAGTTATTCTATATATGTCCATAATATCTGAGTATTTGATGTCAATGCACAGAGATTTTCCCATTTGTTTAATTAGGTTGCCGAGCTCATCTTAAGATTCGATATTGTCTGTATTTTTATTTGTAATATTACCAGCTGCCCGATTTTAGCGTTCCACCATGTCAATTTTTTCCTCCAAAAGGTTAATGTACTTCTTATCTTTCTTTCTTTCGGCCTCTAGGTTTTCAATTCTATTTAAAAACTCGTCATGTTTATTCGACATCACTTCAACTGATTTTGAAAGCTGGACATTTTGATCTTTTATGCAATTCACAGAAATATGAAGATCATGGAAACGCTTATTTTGTTCTTTTAAAAGCGAGTCAAACATTTGCTTTCTCGTGGACATAAAAGTGTTATCATCTTCATCACGCTTTCTTTTCTTTCTCTCTGCAGCATTCTGTGGAACGCGCGGGTCAGGCTCGGAATTGTAGTGTAGCATCGTATCCAATACTCTTAATTCCGAGCTACTATGAAATAAAGATCTTTCTTCATCATTAGTCTGTTTATTCGCAGTTTCTGACTTTTCGCGGGACGAAGGCAAGTGCGGTGGAGTACGTTTAAGCGGCATATTTATTACCTTTGACGAAGTACTAGGACAACAGAAATGCGTACTTACTTGAGTTATGACTACAGATCGATTATACGTTTAGAGATCTTACTTTTTTGACGACGATCGACGATTCAGTACAAATACTGCAGTCACCACTTTATGTTGACAAACTAGAAAATTTATTTTATGCTATGGCTTAGTAGTTAAGTTCATAGTTATAAAGGTATTCTAGAAATACTTATAAATGTTATGTTATGTTATGTTAATGTAATGTAAAAAAACAGTTTCATAATAACGCATTTATCAATATATTTCTGTATATTATGTATAGGTTTTTCTTCTGAATAAATGACATATAAATGATAAGGCCTCATTTTAATCAGTTTAATTTTTTTATTTACATGTCTAACTAATATTCACAAATTATTTAAATAAAAATGGTTATATATATGGTGTAACCAAAATAGTGCTTTCTATTTCTATTCTGCTCGTCAATGTGAACAAATTTATTTATGGCTCGTGTTATTTTATGTTGAAATTTCGAAATTGTATGATACTTACTGATAGTATGTGATCCCAGTGTCTTTCTCATTTCTTGTAGTATTATTTTTACACAATTTCACTACGTAAACTGGTATTTTACTTCGGATTATGATCAAAGTTTAATAAAACATTCGGTACGTCTACCTGACACGTTGCCTGCAACGCGACTGCTCGGGTACGCCGACTTCGGCGTAGTATTTGTTGCCGCATTTTATGCCTCCTCTACACTACTCGCGAAGTAGATCGAAGTTGGACGATGCGAATAGTGTACAGAAGTACTTCGATTTACTTCGTCCAACCTCGCTTTGCCTCGGGCGACTGCCGATCGCTGTCGGTTTTTTGCGCCAGAGTCAAAGGACTTCGCGAAGTACCCCGAAGTTACAAGAAGCGTCTCACTACGCTACTCGACTTACGCCAGTTATGATTTTTTATATATATAAATATTAAATATGTAGCTTTCTACATAAGTATTTAATTAGTTAAAGCATTGACGTCATACTGTTCACAAAATTAGGTACCTATAGCAGCTGCAACTTGAACGTCATTCATGTTAAGGGAACGGGAGACTCAAGACGACTGAGCTCTTCGCGATGTAGCACGAGTCACTTTCTTCGGACTGCGATCGACTTCGACGAGCACTTCGTCGATAAATATTGTTATAAGGTGTTGCCACCCTACAAAATAATTCTAATGTGATGAGCACTAAGCTACGAAAGTTATCGTGGTACACATTACTCATACTCATAACGCACTGGAAAATTATTAGGGACACTTGTTTAAATTTGTGATTTCGCAAGAAATTGTAAGATTTTGCGAGAATTTCAGATATAATACTATAAATTAATTCTTCTTCTTACAATAAAGGTTAAAATAAATAACCATATAGGCGTATTTAAAAAATAAAATTAAAACATTGTCGTCAGACAGCCCTGGGACATTTAAGTTTTGTATGGAGCAAAAAAAATTTTAAGTTTTGTTCACTAAAATATTGACTAAATTGAAGATTTGTGGATTCCATTTGCAACTATATCTTTTTGATGTCTTCATTTTTATGCAGCAACGAAAATTCGATAACAAAAAACTTAAAAAAAATACAAAAATTGTAGGGGTAATTTTTTTCAAAAGGTATGCCCCACCCATCGGTGGTCATATAATTGTTATAAATACAAACGCAACGGAAGTTTATTTCGGCTCTTAAAATCCTTATTTACACATTTTAGTAGCGCCTGACAATTTACAGATTGAAATTACAATTAAATGCAACAAACGGCTCCGTGGCGCAGTGGCTTAGCAATCAGTTGTTGCGCTGGGGGCCGCGGGTTCGAATCTCGCACGGAACAATTATTTGTATGGCCTACAAATAATTGTTCCGGGTCTGGATGTTTGTCCTTGTGCAATTTGTGTTTGTAAACTGCCTCCACGATACAGGAGAAAATCCTAGTGTGGGGGTAACGTTTTTTAGAATAAAAGAAAAAAAGAAGCAGAACTAACGGCTTTAAGTTTTTCAGAGGTACATGGATAAAGCACTGCTAAAATCACCGCTCCGGGCTGGTGTTCTGCCCGGGGAGTGGCCAACGCTCCGATTGGTAATTCGGAGCTATTATATATATGCTGCTTTAACATCGGAACTTTGTTAGTGCGATTTAGGCTTCGATGTGTTTCGCTTGTGGCGCAACGACAGCGCCGCCACATTAACTTTTGTGTCTATTTGGCGGACAAGGAAACTGTTAAAATGGTTCATTTTGATGAAAAACTTTCCGTCAACTATTAATAACGCGCATGAAGGAAAAAAAAAACTAAACCCTGGGTGACTTCTATGACACCGGATATTTAACACAGCAAAAATGTACGTGCCAAATAAGCCAATAGTTAGGTTTTTTCAAAAAATTAAATCATAGTACATGTAATCATTATCATATATATATTATCTTCTTATAAATATATATTATAATTTGACGAGAAATTATTATTATCTTTATTATTTTAGATTATATCAAGGGTTTACATGATAAAGCAGTTGAACACATTATAAAATTATCTCATCTTATCGAAGTAGAAAATACACATCGAATAGAACTTCAAAAGTGGTTCTTACACGTTACGAAAGTGTATGTAGAAATGAAGGAAATATTGAGCATTTTTTGTGTTTTATCTGTCTCCGTTGCACAAAATCGTTTCGCTTTAAATATTTTGCATTACAATGATTTTCACGCGAGGTAAGCAGTTTTAAATTAAAATAATATTATAACATTATTGAGGTAAAACTTCGGGTTAGTGAATTCGGATTATTTTAATTTAATATAAATTAATTTTGTTACGAAGTTAGACTAGATTGGTATTACATATCAGTTTAAGAACTATTTCTGCCACCAGGCAGCAAAATACTCAATGCTATTTGGATTACGCTATCAGACATTTCATTTAAGTTCTCAAGAATGACAACGTAATGCGATGCAATACAAATGTTACTGATATTATCATGTTTAATATCAAAACTGATAGCGTTTAACTTCGCGATAAAACTTGTAAAATGATTTCTGGTATTAGTGTAAAATTATTTTATGTGTCACATCTTCCGCATAGGTTCGTAGAGACAAGTCCAGCGGGAACAGTATGTAATCCATCCGTTGCACCATGCATCGGAGGTTTTGCTCGTTTAGCTACGGTTGTGAGAGAAGCTATCCAGAGGGAACCAAAATCTCTGCTCCTTAATGGCGGCGACAGCTTCCAGGGTACTATTTGGTACAACTTGCTAAGATGGAACGTTACCCAGGACTTTATGAATATGCTACCACATGATGCCCATGTAAGTATACAATTATGATAGTCAAGTGGTTTTTAAATGTAAGATAAGTAATAGCCTATAAACGTTCCACAGATGGGATGGATTCCTCTCATTGGCGAAAGGTGTTTTGTTTGCTATGACAAAATTAGACTAATTTAGTGGACTTCTAGTCCAATAAAGCTGTAATAATAGTATATCATAATAATCATCAGTCGCAATTTTACTACCGGTCAGTGCAGTCGCTTCGTAATGACGGACGGCTCTAATGCCGAACCTACAATATTTTCGTAGCGTAAGCATACCTACTGCGCGAAAATAATTCGAAATGGCGTGTCAACGTAAACGCTCCGAAACCGTCGTAGTTCACGAGTTCCTGGCCTTTGTTCAACAAAAATTGGACGTCATGGACCAGTTGTCTCTGGAGCAGATACTGATGACAAGCTTCACCGAGGACGAGATCATCCAAGCAAAGAAGGTGTTAGCAGATTCAGCCGTGAGCCAAATCCGTCTCATCACACGTTACAGTACGCGTATCTTCAGGCTGTTCAATGAGACCGACCCTGATGACATCCCAACTTTTGTCGCGCGTGATCTCAACAAGCTGCCTCCCGTGACGTTCGATCACGTAGACGTTACCAGATTGTTGAAAGACATCACCACGTTGAAAGCCGATGTTACCGACATCCGTTCCAAATTTGAAGAATCGGAACGAGCCGCAACAGAGCTGAGGAACGAAGTCAATATGTTGCGAAATATAATTGCAACATCTGCGAATTCACCGCCGTCGCAGAATGTTAATACGACACGCGGTAACCGTAATAGTAGTCATATTTCACCGATGATTACGACTCCGTCATGCGATACCGCCTGTCTAACTAGGGCGACCTCGGTTGTCATTGCATCACCACCTCAACCCTTGACTGAACCCATTAGTACTCCTCCGCCGAAGCCAACCTCAAAACAACGGAAGACGTTTGCGGATGTTGCCTGAAAATCCTTACAACCAGCACCCTCTTGTGGTCGAAAGCGAAAGAACGTGGAAATAAAATCAGTTCCAGTGGTGACCCAAAAAAAATTGATATGGACGGGTTTACTCTTGTTGAGAAGAGACGTCGGTCGAGACCCGTCTGTAACCAGCGTGGGACGACCAAAATAAACGCGAGTACAACCCTGCGTGCTGTGGAGCCAACTCTAGCCAGCTCTACATCTCCCGTTTGGACAAAAGTACGTCAGGAGAAGACGTCCTGCGTTTCGTGGAAGAACGAAGCCGATGCCGCATTGAGGACCCGATCTCTTTACATTTGCAGCGTCTGGAGTCTAATAGGTCAACGAACTTCAAATCCTACGTACTCCAGGTTCCTGCAAAACACAAAGAGACATTCCTCACTCCTGATTTCTGGCCTTCTGGGGTAGTGTATCGCCGATACAGGGACGCGCTAAAGAAAAAAGTTCCCTAAATAGTGTTAAGTTATGTCTATATTTTATATATATTTTTAGGTTAAGTTAATATTGCTATGGGCCAATGTTCTTAATTTTTAAGTAATTGATGCCTGAAATAAAGTTATTGTATTGTATTGTATATATTTTAATTCCTTAAGAATACAAGTTTTCTCATGGCGTTCTCCGTCGCTCCGAGCCAGCGTCGACAAAATTCCGGATGCGTTCTATGAAATTTGATTTTGACTTCTAAACTTATGCTTAAGTTTTGTTGCTACGTTATGATGAGAAAACAAAAAAAAGAAACCAGATTAATTACTTATTTTAAAAATTTCCAGGCATTTGGAAACCATGAGTTTGATAACGGTATAGAAGGCGTTGTACCTTACTTGAAAAATTTGAATTCTAAAGTAGTAGCAGCAAACATCATTGATACTTTAGAACCTTCAATTCAAGGTCTGTATTATCCTAGTATCGTTGTGGAAAGAGACGGTCGAAAAATTGGAATAATCGGCGTCATTATCTCCACAACTAATGTAAGTTATTTTTTTCATTGTTTTATGTTTTTCAATCTACAAATATATTTAATGACAATAATATAAAAATTATTTTATGATTTAGGAATTGGCATCTACAGGACGCTTAGAATTTACAGATGAAGTGGAAGCTGTGAAGAATGAAGCAGAAAAACTACACCGCGACGGCATTGATATTATAATAGTACTGTCACATTGTGGACTTGATATTGACAGGTGACAATAATAATTGTAATCTATATATTAATCCGCGATGGGAAAATTTTGTATCCCTTTTAAGAATATCTTAAAGTGACATTTTGCATAGTTAAATTTTATATGGAGTGGGGGTGTAGAAAGCTAAAATTTATATACATACACTAGCTTGCCAGGCAGACGTTGTACTGCCCTTTCCGACGACCCTTGATATGAAAAAATCATTAAATATATATTAATCCTTAAATATATAATATTGAGGGTCACTTATTGAGATAAAAACTATCCTATCTCTCAAGTTGGACCAAACTCCACACAGTGTGCAAAATTTCATTGAAATCAGTTCAATACTTTAGAAGTTCATCGCGGACAAACAATGTAAAACGTAATTTTTATATATAAAGATAACTAGCTATTCGCCTTGTTGTCGCAAACGTCCAGTTGTAAATCTAAACCGTTCTAAAATCAACTTTATCACACACACAATATTTTATTAATATCGGTCGAGCCGTTTATGAGGAGTTTTTTTTTAAAGAAGAATTTTAAAATTACGGCAATAAATATTTACTGCTTAATTTTCTTTTTGTGTGAATGTAAATGTTCCTGTTTCAATAGTCTGTGAAGTGTTTCAATAGTCTGTCAAGGCAAAAAAGCATATTTTATATTTTGTTACACTTGAAAATGAAATAGAGTTTGCTTAATATACAAACTTAAAAAAATATTTAATTAAAGTCGAATTTCAACCAATATGCGATCACTAGTATTAACACAAAAAAATAAGAAGTTGTTTAATTGTTATTGTGTATAATAAGACTTAATGTAGTATGTTTATTTGTTTTTCAAAATTTCTTTGAACTCCAATTTTTCAGTTCATTTTTTTTAATTATGTTACCGGATTTTTTATTTTGACACAGGGAAATAGCATTACGTGGTGGCCCACATATAGACATCATTGTAGGAGGCCATAGTCATACTCTACTGTACAATGGAGATCCACCAGAAAATTCAGTTTTTATACCGCAAGGACCATATCCCGTGGTTGTGCAGCAAGAATCGAGAAGTGTGCGTTTTTAACATTGTTTTTCTAAAATTAGTATAAATAAAAAACTTAGTTTACAAGCAAAATATTATTGATGAAAATTAAGGCTGATGAAGGCAGATTCTCTATTTGTCAATTAAGGCCCATATCGAGAAGCAAACATTTACATGCTGATAAAGAAGAAGAAGAAAACAATAAAACTATTATTAAAACAATAACAACTCGAATTTAGTGATCTTTTACGAACAATTCATATAATGCATACAGAAACTGTTTACAAATCATATCGACCCCACCAAAACATATTAGTGCAGCACGTCGGACACTAACTTCCCCAAAAACACTCTCAAAAACGAGAAGAGGCGTATATAGTTGTAACTTTAATATACAAAATTATAAAATAAACTTGAAATGTCTTTTTTTAGGAATTACGGGGAAACGTGAAAATTAACATCTATATGATTATACATATGCACATACTTACAATTCAGTTATTTCAGTAGGATAATTTTTAAGACTGAATAAAATCCATAAGAAATAATATTAGATCTTGTTTCTGGTTACTTCAATTACAATTATAATAATTATCAATTTTGAATAAGTACATTTTATAAAATTTAAAAAAAAAGCTTGAAAGAAATAATCGCCATCCAGGCAATTATTTATATTATTTTTGATACTTAATATTTCTTAAGAGCTTATTTTACTCTCAGGTTCTAATTGTACAAGCTGCTGCGCATACTCAGTACTTAGGTGAAATCAAACTATTTTTTGATGACAATGGCAACCTTTTGGATTGGGAAGGTCATCCTCATTTTATTGGAAATAAAATTGAACAAGGTAAGGCGTATTTTAGTGTATATATTTATGATAACCTTCTGTTTCGTATTTATATTTTTACAGATAGATCATCATCATCATCATCATCACAGCCTTTCATAAGTCCACTGCTGAACTTAGGCTTCCCGCAAGGAATGTCACAAAGCACGGTCCTTTTCTTCCCGATTACAAGAACCTTTCTTACCCATCGGTTGTCGGTTAATCGAGCTATATGGCCGGCCCACTGCCACTTCAGCTTACTAATCCGTCGGGCTATATCGGTTAGTCTGGTTCTAGTGCGGATATACTCATTTCTAAGTTTATCACGCTGAGAAACCCCGAGCATAGCCCTCTCCATAGCTCGCTGAGCGACCTTGAGCTTCCTCATACGCCCAGCAGTGAAGGACCACGTCTCAGATCCGTAAGTCATGCTGGCAACACGCACTGGTTGTACAATTTCGTTTTAAGGTTTTGAGGTATGTCTGACGAGAAGATGTTTGTCCATGTTCATCCTAAGACCTATTCGTTGGGAGACACTATTGAGGTCATTGAGCATGGTGAATAGGTCCTCCAGCGATTCTGCCATAAGGACTATATCGTCGGCAAATCGAAGGTAAGTGATGTACTCGCCATTGATGTTAATACCGTATCCTTTCCAGTCCAGAAGCTTGAAAACTTCTTCCAATGCAGCGGTGAAGAGTTTCGGGGATATAACATCACGCTGTCTTACACCTCTCTGCAATTGGATAGGTTTCGTACTCTGGTTCTGTACTCGGATAGCCATCGTAGCTCTACTGTACAAACACTTCAGCACTTCGATATACCGACAGTCAACTTGGCACCGCTGAAGGGACTGCAGTACCACCCAAATTTCGACGGAATCAAAGGCTTTCTCATAGTCCACATACGGCAGACATAGTGGTAAATTGTACTCTTCGAACTTCTGTACAATTTGCCGAAGGGTATGATGTGGTCTATGGTGCTAAAGCCCTTTCGGAAACCGGCTTGTTCGGGAGGTTGGAAGTCGTCAAGTCTGCGCACGAGACGATTCGTAATGACTCTCGAAAATAGCACGTAGACGCGGCTCAGAAAAGAAAGAGAGCGTTGTCGCCTTTCTTGAAGAACAAGACCACCGCACTTCTGCTCCATGCTTTCGGTGTAATTCCACCATGGAGGACGGAATTAAAGAGCTTCTGAAGGACTTTAAGTACCGGTATTCCACGCGCTTTCAGAAGCTTCGCTGTATTTCCATCCTCGCCTGGGTCCTTGCCAATTTTAAAGTGCTGGAGAGCCATTCTAATCTCGCTCAGACTGACGTCCAGGATATCTTCGGAATAGTGTCGGATAAGACTCGCTCTTGGATTGTTAGTCACACTTGCGTGTGGCTCCAACGATGACGTGTAGAGCTGCCCATAGAACCTCTCAATCTCACTCAAAATCCCAGGTGCCCTGGAAACGGAATTTTTATAAAAAGTTACCCACCTAAAAGAAATTTGTTTTGTATCATGCAACTGTTATACCTAAAGAATGGAATTCATCTTGCCTAACCCAAACAAGCTTAGTTTAGCTTACTATCCTCTAAGATCTGCTAAGATCTGTGCCTCTTATCTATCAATGGAGCACAGCAAAAAATCTACTAAATGGATGTAACATTGCACTGCATGACACTCCTTCACTCTGTCTTAATTTTTTAAAGAGTAATTGAAAAGGGCAAAGTTCATGATGCTGTCGAAGATGTCAAATTTGCAGGTTTGTATACAATGTTCGCCTTCTATATTATGATCCTCGGGATCAAACTGCAGCTGAGAAATTTTTCTTTCGTCACGTTTGTCATGCAAATTGACGATCATAAATAATATTGGTGATACTTCGCGTTGCCGATTATAGTATTTTTCGCCTTTCTGGCAGACAGATCTCTGGCAAAGAATATGGAGCCTTGGTTCCGCTCGATCGCTTTTTCAATACAAGCTGTATTGAAGAAGCGATCGAGCCGAGCCAACCGAGATTCGTAATTCCCGCCTCATGCATTTGGAGATCTGTGTGTTGAGTTGCCAGTATGCCATCAAATCTGTTGAAGAATGTAGCTACATCTCCCGTCTAACAGCCACGAGATTAAGAATGTGATCGGAGAGTTTTTGTGTAATTCTGCGGCGGGTCTTGTAGAACTTAGCTCCGACCGCATAGACAGTTTCCACGAGCTTGTCATTCATATCATCCACTTCATTGCAGTCTTCTAGGCACTGAAAACGGTTTTGTAACTGGAGCTGAAAAGTTTCGGGACTTTGGAACAGAGCACGAGGGGGACGGAGCGTTGACTTCATTAGACGAGACCTCTCCAACTTAACGTTGAGGTTCAGTGTGCCTCTAACCATTCGGTGATCGCTACCAGTTTTCACCCTAGCGATCACGGAGACATCACTGAACAGTTGTCGTCTGATCGTCATAATGAAGTCAATCTCAATTTTTGTCGAACCGTCGGGGCTCGACCAGGTCCACTTCCTGTGGGGCCGCTTCTGGAAGAAAGAGTTCATCATAAAGAGTCCCTCTTTCTCCATGAAGTCGACCAGCTGCTGGCCCCTTGGGTTCCGTTGCCCTATTCCAAATTTCCCTACTTTCAGCTCACCGTTTTCTCTTGTGCTTAGTTTTGCATTGAAGTCTCCCATTAACACCGTATATTGGGTTTTGGAGGAATGCATGGCTCTAGAGATATCCTCATACATTTCCTCCACCTCCTCATCAGGGTGTGCCGAGGTTGGTGCGTAAACTTGTATGACCTTCAGCGAATACCGTTTGGTGATTCTGAGTATAAGGTACGCAACCTTCGTCGACACACTCTCAATCTTTACAACGTTGTTAAAGAGAGACTTGTGGACGATAAATCCGACACCTCCATGTGACAGATGGTCGCCCTCCCGGTGATAGAGCAAGTTGCCGGATTCGAGGATTACCGTGTTCTCCCCCGCTCTTCGGACTTCGGATAATCCTATAATATCCCAGGGTAACTTGTCTATCTATTCTTCCTGCTCCACGATCTTCTCGTCAGTCGTCAGGGTGCGTGCGTTGTATGTTGCCAGGTCGAGTCGTCTTAGGTGGCAACCGAACCTCCACCGGAGATTCTTAGCACCCCCTGCCCCGCCGTTACCATGGTCGCCACCGTAGCCAGGAATAGTGGAGCCGCCGGGGACTGGGAGCCGTTTATTAATGTCATTGCTCAATGGGGGTATATTGCCATAGTTGCCACGCGAGCGGGTTGGCAACCGCAGTTTTTTATTGCTTTTTTGCTATTATCAGAAAGATGCTGCTGCCCATCCTCTGCCTGAGTTTCCCTTTGTCACCTTTTACGACACCCACGGGAAGGTATGGAGTAGTGGGTATTTTTACCCGTCACTACACGGGGCAGATAGGTATGCTAATAATATATAATTGGCCCCTTTATGCAGTGGATTAGCATTACGCTGTGGTCCACGGGTTCAAATCCTGCATGGAATAAGTATTTGTATTTCCGACAAATAATGGCTTCGGGTTTGGATATTTTTTGTGCAATTTATGTATGAAAACTGCCTTCATGAAACAGGAGAAAAGCCTAGTATCTTTAGTAGTACTAGTATCATTTTTCCAAAACTAAAAAAAAATAGCTGACCGTTAACGTCACAGCCTATCAAAAGTCCACTGCTTAACATAGGACTTCCCCATAGATTGGCTTGTTGTTCCATATATTTACCATAGCTACCACGCTTGGCAGGTGGGTTGGCAACCACAGTTTTTTATTGTTTTAGTTGTCACTAGGCGACGGTGTATCCCATGTCCTGTTTTGTTTCCCTCTGTCCCCCTTATGGCACTCACGTGACAATATGTAATAGATAGTGGATATTATTATAACGCCACTACACTGATCTTCAATTTATTTTTGAAATTGCCATAAAACTCAACTAAAAACCATTATATCAATTTGAAATAAATTTAACTGTTTCAATAAAATATTTATCAATAACTTGCTTACCTGCAAATTGTCTGTTGTTAGGCACGAGTTTTTATTTAATGGAAATAATTTTCCGTATTTGCTACTCTTTGCAAGTGATGCGGCAATCGCAGACACATGCCACGTCTCGTACTTTTGAACATGCTTCTCATCGTCATGCTGAATTTCACAATTAACAAATACTACTTGTCAACTTCTACGACACGCACGAGATGAGCTGTGGTATTTTTTAGGCTGTCACCATAATGCTAGCATGCAAAAAATTATTATGTAAAAAAATATCTTTCACTTTGAATAAATAGAAAATCAACCGTTTTAACTATGAAACCATGCAGTGGTTTTTTATCATCACCATGATCTTGATCATCAGCATCAGCCTGCGAAAGAACACTACTGGACATAGTCCTCTCATAGTTTCAAACATGTCTCTTAAGTACTACTAACTATAACTAACTAACTACTAACTATAACTTATTTTAAAATATAAAAAAGTGTAATTAAATAAAAAGGCATCCTTTTTTGATATTTTAACTTGATTGTGTGTGTTTTAGCTCCAGATGTTTTAGCGAAAATAAATAAGTATCTGCCGGAAGTATCAGAAATGGCAACCAGAGAGATCGGATCTTCTATGGTTTATATGTCATCAAGATGTGCTTGCTCTGAATGTAATTTAGGCAGTTTTATTTGTGATGCATTTATGGATGCTGTAAGTTTTTTATGTGTATCATCATATCTGCCAACTTAGCTAGTTGAGTTTTGCCTGTCTCACTATGTTTGGGGAATTCGCGTTTTCTTGGCATCGGTCTCCTCACAAGTTTGCCACTGATAACCCAAAAATTATACCGACGAATAAAATACCTATTAAACTAAAAGTAAACAGAGGCCTTAAGACGTGACGCCAGTTTGATAGATTGAATGCCGGTATTTGCCAGCCAAACAGTAGATGACAAAGTAAACAACTTCAACAATATCATTCTCAACTTATATGATATTCATGCACCGGTTAAATGTATTAAAATAAAACATAATCCTGCCCCTTGGATAATTTCAGCTTTAAAAGGCACTTATGACACGTAGGGATAAAGCTAAAAGAAGATTCAAGCGATTTCCACTGGAGAGTAATTTAACAAATTATAAGATCCTACGTTATCTGTGCAGTCGTTTGTGCGTTATTTTTATGACTCTCTAAATGTGATGCCACAAAAGCCTGGAGATTTCTTAAGACCGTTGGCGTTAGAAACTTACGAACACTTTTAAGTGGATACATAGACTTAAATATTCTCAACCAACATTTTTCTTGCCCTAATATTACTATCTAGTGATAAAGTTAGGTCAATGTTAGAATTAGCTAAGCAAGCACCCAGCTCTACAGTATGCCACATTTGGTTTTCTTTAGTCACTGAAGATGATACCAACAATTCGATTTTAGCTATATTATCTACGGCTGCTGGAAATGACTGCATATGAGCTAATATGATAATGCCTATCCTCTCTTTTCTTCTACCAGTTTTTACACACATTTTTAATTTCTCTTTATTTCCTTGTTGTTTTCCGTCATAATGGAAATTAGCCTACATTATCCCTATCTCTAAGATATCTAATCCTTCATCTCCCTCTGAATTTCGTCCTATTTAAATCTTGCCATTTCTTTCTAAAATTCTTGAACACATTGCCAACAAGCAAGTTTCAGCCTTTATCAATAGTAATAATATTTTATGTCCATTTCAATCTGGTTTCCGACCCGGTCATAGTATAACAACTGCCTTCTTAAAGTTACTGAAGATATTAGTTGAAATATGGACCATGAATTTTTAACAGTTCTAGTTTAACTAGATTTCAGCAGTGTGTTTAATTCTGTCGTTTTTGGTATCCTTATAAGAATCCTTAAGTCGACTAATTTGTATAGATCTGTTACTCAATGGTTTTATGATATGATTTCAGGTGAAATATACTCCCAATCGTATAATTTAACTGCGGGTGTACCTCAAGGTGGAGTCCTGTCTCCTCTGCTTTTGCCGTTTTTATTAATTGTGTCACCAAGGTCATATCATCTAATTACCACCTCTATGCTGACGATTTGCAGTTATATCGTAATTTTGTGGCATCCGAAGCTAACTTGGGGATCGAAGCTATGAATGATGACATAAATAAGATTAGCGAATGGTAGGGATCACTTGATCTCACAATAAACACAAAAAAATGCCAAGCCTTGATAATAAGTAAAAGATATGCGCGTGGCTTGCTTGTTCTCCTCTCTCCAAAGTCTTCAAATCGATTTTTTTCTTTTTTTTATAGAAGAGGGGGCAAACGAGCATGCGGCTCACCTGATGGTAAGTGACTACTGCCGCCTATGAACAACCGCAACACCAGGGGATTCTCAGATGCGTTGCCGGCCTTTTTCAAGAAAGGTATAAGCTCTTTTCTTGAAGGTCCCTAAGTAGTATCACTCCGGAAAAATTGCCGGTGGTAAACAATTCCACAGAGAAGTTGGACAAGGAAGAAAACTCCTAATAAAACGCACAGTCGTGGACTGCCAAGCATTCAGATGGTGAGACTGATATGATGATTTTTGTGTTTGTGTAATTTGGTGTCTGGAATTAATCCGAACAATTCCTCAGAGCACTCCCCGTGGTAAATTCGATAGAAAATGCAAAGGGATGCAACACCCCTACGCAGTGCCAGTATATCTATATATGTATGTGTATATATATATATATATATATATATATATATATATATATATATATATATATATATATATAGTATCACGATCTCTTGTATCTTGTAGCACGGAGTCTGCAGCCATTTGAACGTGGTTGATGAATCGGTCTGTGTCGACATTATCGCTATGGGACCTATAGAGGCACCTGTAGACGCGGGGATGGTCGTCGCTGTCTACGCACAGCCATAGGATGGACAGGTCCGCGCCTTCAATGCTGCCGAGGGGTCGAAAACAGATGTCCTCTTTGACGTATACGCAAACTCCAGCCCGGGGCACGAAGAGTGTTCTAGTTTGTACCCCGGGTAGGAGAGATATGAAGTATCAGCCGGAGAGGACACCTGAGTCTCGGTTAAAAAGAGCAAGGCCGGCTTCGCCGTCTCTAGATGTTAATGGACAGCGTTAAGGTTGGAATAAAGTTACCTGATGTTGCGAAAATTCACGGATAGTGTGACAGAGGTCGCCATGGTCTTATTGCTCCGCTTGCCCCAAGTAGTATTAGTCACGAGCGGAATTTTGCCCCCCCCCCTCCCGCAAAATACGCGGGGCAGCCTGAGCACCCACACTCAAGTGGAGTGGTTTGGTCGTGGATGCTCAGCGATGGATTCCCGAGTGGTGCTGGTACCCTCCTGGGGTAGTATTTTGTTTAATTTCGCTACCATGTTGATGGGGGGATGTAATTGGGCCTCCGTCCACCTACACTCAACAAGGGCAACGCAGAGGTAAACCTCTACTTCACGCTGGTGTTTTGTGAGGTCGTGGTACCACCCCGGTTCGAGACGGCCCATCCGTGCGACAGCAAAAGCTGCCGCGTGGCTCTACCAGTGTTGGCATCAGTATTCCCTACTCAGATACAGCCAAAAATCTAGGCGTTATTTTCGACTGCATTTTGACTTAGGGCCCACATATTATGGATGTAAGTAGGAAAATATTAAACGCCTTTTATTCTCTAAAACGTCTTCAAAGTTTTCTACCCTTGTATACTAAGATATTTACAGTCCAGACTCTTATCTTGCCAATCTTAGATTACGCTGATGTCTGTTGTTTGGATGCTACCGAGGAGCAAATTAATAAACTTGAGAGCTTGCAAAATTTATGTATTCGATACATTTTTGGCTTAAAGAAGTTTGATCACGTTTCCGTTTATCGCAAGCAGCTTAAATGGCTCCCAATCCGCCTTCGCAGGAACACTCAAATATCTTTTCAACATTCTACATAATCCTACTATTCCGCTATATCTAAATAAACGTTTTACTTTCATTCATTCTCCAGATATACCATATAGATCAAATACTAGAACATTGTTAAGATTTCCGTCTTTCAATACCATGCTCTATTCTCATTTTTTTTTCTGTTAACGCAGTACGATTGTGGAATTCACTTCCCTTTGGCATTCTTGATGCTAAATCGGTGTCTATGTTTAAAAGACTTGTTAAAGAGCACTATCATTTACTCATTAAAACATATATATGTATGTATATAATTTGTGTAAGTGCACACATTGACTACCTCTATTTCCTTCAATTATCCTTCAATAGGCGTGCGGGAAGAAATTTCATCATGGAATAAGCAGTGCGATTATACATAATAATTATATTTTTACCATTTTCCTATTGAAGTATGTGTGTACATAAATAGTTAAATAAATAAATACATTTTTCCTTGTTTAATATAACGTATTTTATCTACTGCTGCTTCAATTGCCTTATATAATAAACCGATAGGTTTTCCTTTATTCATCATGTGGACCGTCTGGTCCACATGATGAATAAAGGCAATCTGTCGTCTAGATTATCGAGGAAATTTCTGATAACAAAGCACTTCATAAACAATTATCATAATCATCATTACAATCTACCCAAGTTCTCTTTTGAACGTCCCTAGGGTCCATTTCGCCTCATAGGGGAAATAATTTTTATAGTTGTCACGACTAACAAGCGGGTTGGTAACTACAGCTTTTTTATTTATAGTTGTTATCAGGGATATGCTGTTTCCAACTCCCGTGCAGTGGTGGCGTAAGAAAATCCACTACCTCATGTCATAAACAATATTTAACATTATCTGTCGTATATCACATAAGTTATCTGGGTATATCGAAAGTAAGTTAGATAAGTATTGACAAACGTAGTTACATCATAGCCCTTGTTTTGCTATTCGTTTTTCAAGGATCACATGAGACATATACTACCAAATTATTATGATACTAAAATTCAAGAAAAATTATTTTGTTGAATATGTGTATTAGTTCTTTTATTATAATAAAAATACTAGCAATGCTATTAACATTAATATTATTCCTTTAACCACTTCTGGTAAGGTTAAAATGCTTGTGTTAGGAAAGTAGTAGAATAGCGGATTCAAACGGACGACCTTTGATTTTGCGGTCCGCACCCTGCCATTACGCTACTGATGCTTTATTTGATCTATCTTTTTAAAATACAATCCCACTTCCCATACATGGGCGCAAGTGTTGTATCCTAATAATAAAGTTAAGCAAGAAAAACCTACGCTGGTTCAATTTAAAAAATCTCGAACTGTGCGTTCTAACCTCACATACGTTGATACTTAAAATTACGTATAACAATTTCATTGATTTTGTATTCAACTGACTCTCTTTCTTAAACAGGTTGTAAATAAAGCAGAAGGCGATAATTGGAATTATGCACACTTTTGTGTGATTAATCAGGGCGGTATACGTGTCGATATGGAACCTGGAGGTAGGTTAATAATGTAGGAAATATCGTTATTAAGCTGCTCTTCTACAATTTCGTTGATTTCATAACTGTTTTTTAAATGAATCGAAAGCCTTTTGAACTGCACTGCTGTTGTGTGCAGCTGTGCCTGATTTTGGTCCGACCCGAGGTTCCAAACCGGGACTACGTGATCAGCATTTGCGATTACGCCCACTAGATCAAGGAGACATACTTATATTGAGAACTCTAATTCTTTTACTAGTCTTTAATAATGATTCCATGCTATGATACGATTAAATGAATATACCTGTCCTGGGTGTGTGTATTTAACATTTTGCCACGGACAGCATATTATAAGAGATATGGTTCGATTAATATAAATACATACACCAAAAATTCATATAGTATTAATGAACTATTATTAAAATGATTATGGTAGTTATGGTATAATGAAATTTCAGTTTTAACTTTGGAAAATGTGCTATTATCAACGCCATTTGAAAACAACGTAGAAGTCTTTGATATAAGAGGAGACCACATTTTAGAAATGCTTGAATTCTCTGTGGCTAACGTGCCTTATCCAGGTGCAGGAATGTTACAAGTATCAGGTACGTATATGAAACAGTTCGGCATTGAATGTTGCGTCTTCAGGCTCTAAAAAGGAGAATAGATCTTTAAATTAAATCAAAATCATCAACCTATATGACATAAAATTAGCTTGTCAATATCAAATATACTTGTTTATATACAGCTTGTTTTTAAACATGTTTTTTACTATTATTTTATTTTTTTATTATTGCTGAATATGTTTTTAAGTTTGTTAATTTAGTTTAGTGCATGGAATTTAGCATCATTGTTGGTTCTTGATTGCCATCTTAGATCCACCATCTTGAAATTTTTTATCGCCAGCAATTGACCTTTGTCAGTCCCTACAATATTTATGCGAGCACCATCAAACTATCTCTAATCATTGCCGAGTTATAACTCTTTAAAATTGGTTTTCAATTTGTTTTCCACCATTTTGAATTTTTTTCACCACCTCTAGAAGTATTTCAGGGTGTAGGCCGATATTAATTAAGACGCGACCCTGCTAAGTCTTACCGTTTAGTCCGGTAGTAGTACACCATCTCCCTAAGAAGCTGAACGCGAACTTCATTTAATCCGTACTCCTTTCAGCGGACCAGTTCATTTGATATCCATATCATGGAAGTAAAATAAAATAGTCCGCCATCTTTGAAAATCCACCATATTAGATTTAGGGTGACTTCATTTTATTTATGTATTCTTCTCAGTAAACCCTTTCATTTGATCCATGACATGGGGGAGCATAAAAAATAAAGTACGCTATCTTTGGGTGTCCAGCATATTGACATTAGTAAATGCCGCGTTTTTTGTACTTTGATTCACACTGCGAACTAAAAGTTAACCCAACTATGTGGACTAGATTATTCAATATTCCTAGCCAATGTGTACTTTGTCGCTCTTTTGTCTCCTTTCATCCCAGCGCGTCTCAATTTAATAATATTTTCTTTGTAGCGTGTCACTACATCCATTTTTCCAGGACACAGATATTTCATGTTGCGTAGTTCTGTAACTCACGTACATTTGCTTTTAGTGAACAAAATTTAATTTGGCTAAAACAATTTAAAACGATTGGATTTACACATAATTTTAAGAGGTTCAATTTTTCAATTTTAAACAGGAATTCAAACTATATTCGACGGTTCACGTGCTATTAACGAGCGTGTTATGAACGTTACCGTGAGATGCATCGACTGTCCGGTACCCAGATACGAACCGCTGCGGCTTGATAAATACTATAAAGTTGTTTCACAAACCTTCCTCGGCAACGGCGGTGATGGATTTTCTGTAAGTTAAATTACTAAGCCAAAGTTAATTTTTTTTTTTTGCAAAATTAGCCTTTACAAAGCACTTTTTGAAAGTCATGAAATCTACGCCATCTCTTGAACTAGTCTTTACAAGTGAAACCTACTAGCTTACCTTTAAGATGTGGATAACTGTAATTGGCATACTTTAGGAAAATTTGAATTGAACTGAAAATTGTAGTTAGTGATATACGCTGTTGTTATCCTTAATGAAATAAAATAAAAGACGCGGCAATTAAATCACAACTTAACTATTTTTCTCCCGTTAAAGCAGTTACATTTTAACCTTATACATCATATTATAATTGAAAAACATTTCTCTTACTTATCTTTTTTTTTTCATAAGCTTATTTTTACATGCATGAAATCTCTAAAAATTTGACTCTAGTGTTATGAAGTCCGTATATTATGCTAGTAATATCAATGAGTAAAGTCAATGAGTCCGTAATTCGGTACAGTAAGTTTCAATTTATTAAAATTAAATAAATATAGTAAAATTTCTGATTATAACATCATGGTTTTAATTGTAAAATAAAATATTTATCAAATTTTATAAGTAAAAATTTTCGATTAAGAAAAAAAAAGGTAAATACATAAATAGGTAAACATTGCCACCGCTGCTAGTGATTATAAAGATATAACAGATAAATTCATCAGCATTAAAAAAAAAAACTATTTGCTATCATAATTCTTTTGCTTTGCGTATGTTGTCGATAATCCTTATGCACTTTTGGAGAAAACACGTGATTATTATTTATTATTATTTTATTTACAGTGCATTAACTGTTCTCTATCCTTTGAATGTTTATTGATTCTTATCAGAATTTATTATTCCCTAAATATATCGCACGATAAACTTCGCAATGCATGTTTACCCGTATTTAGCCATAAATTTTTCTACTTACTAGTCAATCTCATCAAGACTAGCAAATTATGTTGTAAAGTTTGATCGTGGTAATCAATAATATGATTTGAATTTCTGGCTATCATTTGAGAGTTAGACTCAATTTTACAAGCATATCAATCTACTTAGTGTTGTCTACATTATTATTTTTTGGTACGATCAGTTAAAATTTGATTTCAGGTATACACCTTGTTTTTATTGGCTACCATCCGGTTGGTAGCCGTGTAGTTAATGTGACTGTACGTTGCATAGATTGTGTAGTTCCCAAATACGAAATTTTGTTACGAGACAAATATTACAAAGTATTATCTCAAAATTTTATCGGATATAGAGATGGTAGCTTTAATGTAAGTGATTGTCTTAAGATGAAATTGAATATAACTAAAAATTAAAAATTTTGTACTGCCGATTTCAATATAAGTTATTAAGAATAACTCAAAAACTATTGCTCTGATCTTGATCATATGAGACCACACGAGAAGTACCAGCTTTCAAATAAAAAAAAGATTCATCGAAATCGGTCCACCTAGTAAAAAGTTATGAGGTAACACACAAAAAAAACATACAGTCGAATTGAGTACCGTCTCCTCTTTGGAAGTCGGCAGAAAACGAACAAATAAGATGATTTATAGCTATCGTTAATAATATTTATTCTTAATTCTTTTTATTTCAGTATATACAAAATTCTTAAAATAAGTGCGGTAATGAATGAATGAACTGGTCTGTTCGAGTCGAATTAAATCGACTTAGATTCGATAATATGAATAATTTTTCTAAAGATAAACAAAAAGTTTATTAAAGTACAAATACGGTATTTTTATAGGATAGGGTGACAAACGAGCACACAGTCCACCTGATGGTAAGTGGTTGCTGTGACCCATAGACATCTACATCTATCTTTAGAAAAGAATCAAAATGCAGAGTGCGTTGTCACCCGTGAGGACTAAGACTGAATGCCTCTTTTCCAGAAAATATGGTCTCCGGTTCTCTACACTCACCATACGAATTCGTGCTACAACTATACTACTAATATAACTGCAGCATGACTTTACCACGTAAAACTTCTCGTAATATTAAATATTCGGACATCCAATAATTGTGACAATTAAAAATCCTCCAAATGAACCGAAAAAAAAACCAATTCGATCTTTGATTTACTGTAAATACATATCTTAACATTTATATTTAGAATTTTTTTGTGAATTTTCTGTTGTGTTCAAAACAAATTTTCAGACACAAAATGTTGACTACACTTACATTATTAGCAGTGGTGGCAATAAATGCATATTATCAATTTGCAACAAATTAGAGTTGTTTACTTAAAGCAAAATTATTTTACTCATTGAATAAAACAATTTTTTGGATTTTCTTGCCTTTAATTTTCTTATTTCTAATCCCCCCCGTTACTATGGGTGCGGTAAAGCACTCGAAACGTCAAAAAGTAAAATTAAACAAAAATAAGTAAATTAAACGCGCTACATATAATCCGTAAAAATAGTTTTATTCAATGCGTAGTATTCGCGTAAATATAAGAAATAATTATTTAGTTTACTTTTTTTTATTTTAGCTACTGGTAACACCATAACTGTTAGATCTTTCTATACATGTGTATCAATCTAATTAAATTACAACAAATGTGTTTTACAAGCTTTTTATTTAACTTGAAACTCCCAAAATAAACTAATTTGTTTAGTCTTTTTAAAACAATATTTCTGTCCCTCTTTCCAAATACATTGATTTTTTAAAATAATAAGTAGGCTGATCCAAAATAAAATTGATTATTATTAATTCATTTATTTATTACAATAATCACAACTTTTTTGGATTTAACATTTTTGACTTCATTACAGATGATCGCTGATAATAGAAGAAACGTCGAAGTGGTGGGCGTTGATTACGATGTTCTAATGAGGTATATTCAAAAGCAAAGCCCAGTATTCATCGATGTTGATGGACGAATACAAATCGAAGATCCATGTTCAGATTGATAATTAATTTATTATTAATATAAAATAAATAAATACATCTATTTCACTCTTTACCACCCGACGGTTTTTCCTTCGACGGTACATATTATATTAATTAGCTACAAAGATAGGATAAGACAAAATTCACTTAGGGCCATCCTTCTAAGCTTTATGGAGAGAGTTGGCCATATTCATCACTCTGGGTTGGTCTGGTCAGTCAGGGTTTATTAGTGGAATATAATGTTATTCATCATGTTAAGTTGCCCAGACAGGAGTCGACTGTATTAGGGCCCATCAGTAATACACTCGACGAGCAACCAGAGAGTTCGGGCCCAAATGGCCTTATAGAGAGTAGACCTACACAACAGTGATAAAGCCAGGTAAATAAATAGTACGTACCTGTTCAGAGGCGAAGAAGGATCACAAGGCTCTTTCAGGCGTTAATTGTCGTGAATGTAAGTAGTGTGTGGGAAGTGTATATATGTGTAACCTGAATTAGCCCTTTTTAATCACTGACTCCAGCACCGCCACCCTATGTGGTATCACTCCAGCGGCGGCACTCAGTGTCACTCAAAGTCTAGCGTCCATTATCACAAATCTATAATCTAATACGAACGCTTCTCGCAGGTCACAAAGTTTAGCGGTTTTAACCGACACAGGAAAATATCACTTGACGTTTCAACTCAACTAAATCCCGTTAATTATGATCAAAAATGTAACACGCGGCACGACTGATGAACGGTGGTTAAAGTTCACTTCCGTTCACTCTGCAACAAATTGTTTCGAGAACCGAACGCGACCTTTTTAGGCATTTAACGCGAAGGTACAATTAAACATTAACTTCCAACAGTCAGTTCCATTAGTCAACCCGGCGTCTAATGTTCTAGACTACACAATTCCTTGTCGTTGCATAAATGTGCTAACAAAATCGACACCATCAGAGGTAACTACGCGGCTCGAGTAGACTCATAGCAATGCGCCGCCCGGCCGCCGCTTGACGAAAAAACAATGCCCGATCTCCCCGCGCCCGGCGCGTGAGGGGTGTCGCTCGCGAGCCGCCTGCCAGCTGGAGCTAGGTACATAGGAGAAGCGCGCCGAAGCACCTTCGTTATAGTAATTTTAAATTTTAGCGTTTTGCGCAAACAAACCCCCGTCCCGGGCATAAGGACTTATGTCCGTGAGTAAATTGGCAAACGGGATAGGGTCGCGACGGCACGTTGCAAGACCGATTCTCCAACCAAAACCTCGGCCACCCTGGGCACCCCATCCGATCCATACGATAACTTAACAATGCGCCCACGGCGCCAATACAAAGGCAAAGCGTTGGGTTCTTTAACTAACACGAGGTCTCCAACCCGAGGAGGATCCGTCTTGTCAGACCACTTAATGCGCTGCTGCAAAAGATGTAGGTACTCCAGAGACCATCGGTGCCAAAAACTCTGAGTCATCTGTTGCAGCAGGTCTAATCTGCTCAACCGTGAAGAATTTGTTTCTCTGAAGGGTACTCGGGCAGGGCGTTAAGCAGCTGGCCAATCAGGAAGTGTCCCGGGGTTAGAATCTCCAAATCGTTCGGAGCGGACGAGAGGGGACAGAGGGGCCGAGAGTTGAGTACTGCCTCAATTTTACAGAATACAGTGGCAAGCTCCTCAAATGTCAAAATAGTTTCGCCAATAACGTGACGGAGATGCGTTTTTGCAACCTTAACCACCGCCTCAAAATTACCGCCCCAGTGTGGGTAAGCCGGAGGGTCGAATTTCCACTGGATGCCCTTCTTGGACATTGAAGTACCTAAATAAGTCCTGTTGCTGGACAGAAATTCGACGACCTCTTTCAAATATCTATCCGTGCCCTTATAATTCGTTCCGCAATCAGAACGGATCAGGTCCGGCAAACCGCGACGTGATACGAGGTGGCCCAGCGTGGCCAAGAAGGCTTTCGTGCTGAGGGCACTTACAAGTTCTAAGTGAACGGCCTTAGTGGAGAGACACACGAAGACGCAAAGATAGGCCTTATGTGAACGCGCGTTACGAAGGTTGGAGGACTTGACGAGGAAGGGGCCAGCAAAGTCTGTTCCGACTCCAGCAAATGGTCGGATGGCCCTGACGCGGTCGAGTGGCAAGTCACCCATCATAGGCTGCGATATAGTGGCCTTCAGTTTATAACAAGGTATGCACTTAAAGAGGACGCTCCGAATGGTGCGTCAGCCAGCCAAAATCCAAAAATCCCGCTGCAAAATAGCCGAAAGAGCGTTACACCCAGCGTGGGCATTCTTATCATGATGGTGGGTAACCAGCAACCGGACAAAGGCGCCGTCCTTAGGGAGTAGTAACGGGTGTCGAACCCCGTACGGCAGTTGAGAATTTTTCAAACGTCCACTAACGCGCAGCATCCAGCGTCGTCCAGGAAAAGGTTCAGACGGGCCAGAGCGCCCTTGACAACGGAGCTCCGCTTCAAGTTTTCAATCACGGGCTCAAAATACTCCGCTTGGACCATACGAGTCCAATGCATCAAAGCTTCACGACGCTCGCTAGGGGAAAAAACGGAATCAGAGATTCGGTTGGACGGGTCTCTCGAATTGCGGACAAATCGACGCAACCAAGCAGTCACTCCTAAGAGCTTATTGAGAGAGCTGTACCGTTCCAGAAGCGAGAGATCCCGAGTGGGCTTATCCTTGCCAAGTCCTACTCGGGCTCGTAGGCCAGGCAATTCAATCGGTTCGGAGTATTTACCCTGGGGCCAGAATGACTGAGACTCAGTCAACCAACTGGGACCAAACAACAGCGGGTGGTTAACCAAAGAGGGGGCTTTACAGCTACGAGAAGCGCAGTCTGCGGGATTCAATTCCCCTGAGACATGTCTCCAGTTTAGAGAAGTCTCAGAACTCTGGATTTGAGACACACGGTTCGCCACAAAGACCTCAAGATTGTGCGGTGCAGCTCTGAGCCAACAAAGTACTATCTCACTGTCCGACCAAGCGTAGACGTCCGTAATGTCGATTCCAGACTTTAAAGACGAATGAACGTGGTTGAGGAGTCGCGTGAGAAGAGCGGCTCCGGAGAGTTCCAATTTAGGGATAGTTACGCGGGACCTAATGGGAGCAACCTTGCTTTTAGCAAGTACGAGATGGGCGGAAGTATGGCCAGAAGAGCTCACAGTCCGCAAATATACGACAGCAGCATAGACTTTCTCAGAGGCGTGGCAAAATCCATGTAGGGTAGTCCTGCATTTCCCTGGAGGGAAGAAGCACCTTGGCATGGAGGTTGATGTCCGGAAGGGAGGAGACAATGGAGAGCCACTCTCGCAAGAAGTTTTCGCTAATAGGCTAGGGAAACCCAACCCGGATATCCAGAGCTTGTGAAGAAAGCACTTAGCCAAAAAGATGACCGGGGTGATCCATCCATTATGGTCGAAGGTGCGGGCTATTGTAGACAGCACGGAGCGCTTGGTCCATGCTTGGGGGGGGGGATCGAGTTTTATTCGATACGTGAAAGTATACTGTACAGGCTGATATTTAATTCCCAGCACACTCAACAAATTAGGATTTTCAGGGTACTCGAATAGATGAGAGTCTTGTTGATCCTCTCCTGGAAGGTCCTTCAAAATATGAGGGGAGTTTGACAACCATTTACGCAACTCATAACCTCCGGACTTCAGGATGGCAATCAATTCGTCACGAAAGACAAGAGCCTCCTCGACGGTGGAGGCGCCCGTACAAATGTCGTCCATGTAGATCGAAGTCTCCAAGATAGAAGCCCCCCGAGCGTATCTTAGACGCTCTCTCTCAGCTAGTTCAAGGAGGGTTCGCATGGCGATATACGGGCTGGACCGGAGACCATAAGTTGTGGTGTTCAACTCAAACACCTGTATCGGATCACTGGGCTTCTCGCGCCACAATATCAGCTGATATCGACGGTCATCACGATGGACCACTGATTGTCGAAACATCATCCGAATGTCGGCCACAATAAACAGTTGGTGCCGACGGAAGTGGGTCAAAATGTCGGATATGTCTTTGATCAATTCAGGACCAGAGTGGAGACACTAGTTCAGGGACACGCCATTTGACGAGGGGGCGGAGCCGTCAAAAACTACCCGAATCTTACTCTCAGGGGTCCTCCGAAAGGTGAGGGAGGAAGTAGTGCTCCTATGAACGCCATTCGAAGTTGGACGGTGACATGTGACCCAGCTCTTGATACTCGCGCATGAACTCGACATATTTGTCGCAAAAGGCTGGGTCGCGCCGCTCCATGGAAAGCAACATCTTCTCGGCCAGTGCACGAGGTTGACCCAAAAGGGGCCGTGAGTCCAGAAAAGATAAGCGAGTGACAAAACGACCGTCGACGCGATGGCCGGTACTGTTCTGGTAGAACAACTCGCACTCACGGTCCAGCGGGTTGACTCGAGCCGCGTGTGGTGGCTCCTCAATTTCCCAGAAACTCTGGACGACTTCCGAAGGGACTCGCCCACAACAGAGAGCGGGTCGGCCGTCTGAGGAGGTGGAGACCACAGAACCGTTCCAAAGAAGCTGTGCCCAAATACAGTGGACATGGCTGACAAGCCATAGGGCTTTAGGGCTCATATCTCGCCCAACAAGACGAACCTCAGCGCGTCGGCCCCCAGCAACAAATCTATGGGCCCAGGCCGGGACCACTGAGGGTCTGCCGGTCTCAAACCCGACGCACAACCAACCGCGCCGTCATTTATACGGACGTTAGGAAGGAAGCCTACAATGTCATCGAGGACATTTACCTTAACTAGAATGTGAAGGTGTTCGCTGGCAGGGCCAAACACCAACTCAGCCTGTCCCCTAGGAGCAGGAGGCTCGGCACCTCCGATACCTATCATTGGACGTGCTTCAGAGCTCCAGGGGAGCCCTAGTCTTTCCACCAACCAAGTGGAGGCCACACAGCGTTGTGAACCCGAATCCAATAGAGCGCGAACAGTTAAACAGTCGCCACTCGGGTTGTACACCTTCACTGAGGCCGTCGGCAATAGAACAGTTTGACAAGTGGACTGTTGACGGATCAAAGGCTCAGTGGAGG